TCACGTGGGTCACCGAAGTGGGAGAAAAAACAGCAACGAAGTTGTGAACTAAGTCTGACCACATTCAATAAACTCCTGTTAACCTGGATTGAGACCTGGTTAACCAGCAGTATGACAAGACCTGGGGACTCCTGGGCCCAGGGGCAGGGACATGACCCCAGAGGACTAGAATGGAGTGTGAAGCATCCAGCTGATATAAAGTGAGGGGGGATGCACAAGAACACCCACACTTGCAGATAGTACCCATTTGACCTGGCATCAATCAATGGCTGGATAATCAGAACAAGAAAAAAGGGGCGGGGGGAGGAGTAACCCACTATAAGTGGATGAATTTGACCTATGCTTGTGGATGCAGTATGACAAAGGAGCGGACAAATCTCTACAGTGAAGATCATTCCCACCCCCTTGGTACACAGGGTCGACAGGGAGGGCGAACTGGGGGAACTACAAAGGCAAGGAGTAACTGGCTTACAAGCTTTCAATAGGGAACCTAGCTCCAGAGGATACAGGAAAATGTAGAACCTCCACTGAATTGTTTCCAGCCTGTCTGGATGGGGCTGATAAAAGGTGAGGGGGAAAGGACTCCTGTGGTTCAATAGGGAATGATTACTATCAGGTCTGACAATGAGTGTTGGAAAGGTAAATGTAAATGTTTGGTAACAAAAGGAGGGAAGTGGCTGATTTTGCAGTCTTGGAGCCAAGCTCCCTGGAACCATCAAGGGAGAAAAGCGAAGTGTGAGACCCTGTCCGGAGAGGCAGTGACACTAGGAATGGAGGCAGAGACAATAATGTGGACAGAAGGAGCAGCTGGGGACTCTGGTCTCAGGGAGGGAGAGGGGCTGTGTGCTAATGGCCAGGGGGCAGGCATGTGGAGTGTACCCTTTGGGTGTTTGATGATGCATGCAGGGGATTGTAATCATTGCAATGAAACAAAATACAATAGGATGAATGTAAATTAACACATAATTCACAATAAAAAAATTTTATAAAGATGGAGACAGCCTAAGTGCCCATCAACGGAAGAATGGATAAACAAAGTGTGGTACATACACACAATAAAATATTACGCTACCTTAAAGAACAACAAGGAAGTTATAAGCTATCACATAACATGGTTGAACCTTGAGAACATTATGTTGAGTGAAATTATTCAGTCACAAAAGGAGAAATACTGCATAGGACCACTACTGTAAAAGACTAAAGGAAAGAACACATACTAAAGATGGGGAGGGGATTCTTTGCTGGTTACCGGGATGTGGGGGGTGGGGTAAAGGGAGGGAGGGGAAGGTGGAGCACAAGATACGGAATAGACACAGGATAGTTTGGGTGCTGGGGACAGGGAAAATACACAAGAAGGGGGAGGGGAATGGAAGAAGAAGGCAGATGGGAAAACAAT